GAATTGGTGCCGTTGCATATTTGCGCCAAGCTGTGATTTGCTGGAGTCGAGCGTGATCCTTGGAAGGTGTACTTGTCGGCTTGCGTGTTCACCGGTGATGATCTTAGCCTTGATGATGCTGTTGCAAAGTTCGGTGACAATCAATCGTGTTCCGTTGCACATTCCTTCAGAGACGTCCAAGTTTCGCTGCGCTGCTTGACTGCTCTTGTCGGGCGCAACGGCGTTATCATCGGGTCTTGGATATTCAAAGCATGCATATTGGCCGAAGATGTGAAAGATGTGGCTTCAGATGGTCCCGACATGTTCAATTGGTCACTGTTCACAACGAATTAGTAAATTTGCTTCCGTTCATCCGCTTCTTGAAAATTCTTGTCCAGGAAAAGGCGTCGATGAGAGAGGTATTGTCGAGCATAAAAGATGATGTAAACTCCGCAGGAAGACGCGTCATCTTAGTGGTTGTAAGCGTTGCGAGGTTTCACGATGCATCCTTTCAGCTTTTCATTCGTAGCAACGGTATTCAAAACGTGTCGCAGTATTTTTCTCAAAACAGCATCGATGGGCACCGGGTTGTCGACTGGATCGCAGACTAATAGTTGACGTTCTCCATAGCTTGCTTCTTAAATTCCTAGCATCCAGTGCTCGCCTCTATCCATTTGAGCTCTCTTGTGAATGGGAATCAGTAGCACGTCGAATCCTTGTTGAACGCTCATTCCTCGTATTATAGTATAAGATATAGATGGTAAATGTTAATTGTAAATGATTCGTGGTAAATGGTACTTACGGATCCAATATCTGGGGCTGTTGGGATTCTATCTTGATGAATTTGTTTATCTATTGGATTAAAATGTAAAGAGTCAGTGGCTATCACAAAGCATAAAATTGCAAGAGTCAAGGACAATATGTATTGAAACACTGTCTTCATTTTTTCTTTCTAAATACCACGGCAATGATCTGCAAAAATGTAAACTAATGTAGCTCTTAGTAACAACGAACAGTGAAAAAGTGATTAACCCATAAAATGCCTAAAGAATGAATAACAAGTAAGTTGATAAAGTAGAATGATAAAATAAATAATAAATAACAATTTGATGGTTAAAATAAATATTGTTATGATTGCTGAAATAAATTATAATAGTATTGCTAAATACTGTTTGCTTGTTGTTTATTTACGTAGCACTAGAGCTGCACTATGGTCTATTTGCGACTGTGTGGGAAACATCCCTGAGAATGAGCCGAATGCATGTTGTCTCAATTTTGATCCTCTGCTAAGGGGATGTTTCCCCGCGTCGGCAGTCCGAAGAGCTGCACGCGAAGTCGAATACTCTGCGGTAGAACAGTTTAACGAGGACCGATACCGCACACCCTTTTTCCCTTCGTAGCACCAACAAGTAAAACAACATCAAGTTCTAAAAACTCTTACTGATAATACACGTTGGTTACCGATAATACGCATTGATGACAATATTATGAATATTATTGACAGCGAAAATTATTGAATGTTGCTTAACATTAATTGGGCTACAAAAATAATGACACCAATGTAGAAATTATTGGAAGCCAATGCAGATATATTTATGGGAAAAATGTATTGCGATATTAAAATTTATACTTATTAGTCAGAGTAATGATGTTTGTGTGAGTGGTAACTCTATGGTAACCGGTGAGTGGTAACTCAACGTATGGTTATTATAACCGATAAGTGGAAGATGAGAAGATGGATACCAACAGCGGATTATTACCCCAAAGGCACAGTGCGGAAAAAAAACTAATAACCCTAAATAACTTTTGATCTAAAGATCGGATTTTTACCCTTTCAAATGAAATTTATTATCTTACAAAGTTAATAAAAGCAAATGATTGTATGGCATGCCCTTAAATGCATCGTTGAGATAATAATAATTGTTATTTTAATGTTAGCAAATGATGCACTAAATATTTCAATTACAATTTCACTGCGATACCATAAGAACATGTAAGAGACAGAAATTAAATCATCTCTCACCTCAGAAATATGATTTTATTATATTTACATATTGTTTAAATTTTTTCCTATATGATTTTGAATATGAAAAAAACTTAAAATTTTGCCTTCTTTAAAAAGCAGATCGGTTGATCGTTGGGAGCAGCTTGCATTTAATAAAATAGAAGCATTAGTTTTAGGAATCGTATTTGGAATAAAAACGTCAAAAATGCTAGTTTAAAAGTTTTACCACTAAAACCCGGTAAACCGTCTCAAGACAAAAGAAAAAAAAACGGGGGAACTTACCTTTATTCTAAATGTGATTTTAGGGGCGATAGTATTACCTTTATATATTGCTGAAGAGCAATAAACTAAAATTTCAAACTGAATTATTCGAGTTTTATATTTAGAGTGCAAATATGTCTTTAATGAAATGACTTAGGAAGACGTATTGGCACAACTATTAACATGATGTTACGGCTTTGCTGATTTGATAAATGGCTATTATTTTTAATACTCTTGAGATTTCGTGGTTACCTTAAATTTTCTTTTTAGCAATTCCAATTTTAATAAGTATTTTATTAGAGAATAATTCACAAAGAGCTTGCAAAATGGGACATATATTTCTGTGTTATAAATATCTTTTATAGCATAATATTTTTATTTATCCAAAAGAAAGCAGCATAGGCATGATTTTCAAAACAATGTTAAGTTCCATATGGCTTAACAAAAGATTATTATTTACAAAATAAAAAATTCGGGATGTGAGATATGAATGGTGAGAAAGGTAACCATCATATAGGTAACTCTAAGCCATCATATCGCTGCCAAAATTAGCAAAGTTTTACTTCAGAAAATACCTCAATCAGAAAATATGGAATACTTGACTTCGAACCACTTCTCCTCATCCATCACCGAAGAAGATAAATTTTGACGGAGTTTGATCCTAACGTGCTGGTGACACTACCACCATGACGTCAAGTGATAACCGGTACACCATCTAACACATACTAGCGTGCTGGTGACACTACCCCCATGACGTCAAGTGATAACCGGTACACCATCTAACACATACTAGCGTGCTGGTGACACTACCACCATGACGTCAAGTGATAACCGGTACACCATCTAACACATACTAGCGTGCTGGTGACACTACCCCCCTGACGTCAAGTGATAACCGGTACACCATCTAACACATACTAGCGTGCTGGTGACACTACCCCCCTGACGTCAAGTGATAACCGGTACACCATCTAACACATACTAGCGTGCTGGTGACACTACCCCCCTGACGTCAAGTGATAACCGGTACACCATCTAACACATACTAGCGTGCTGGTGACACTACCCCCCTGACGTCAAGTGATAACCGGTACACCATCTAACACATACTAGCGTGCTGGTGACACTACCCCCCTGACGTCAAGTGATAACCGGTACACCATCTAACACATACTAGCGTGCTGGTGACACTACCCCCCTGACGTCAAGTGATAACCGGTACACCATCTAACACATACTAGCGTGCTGGTGACACTACCCCCCTGACGTCAAGTGATAACCGGTACACCATCTAACACATACTAGCGTGCTGGTGACACTACCCCCCTGACGTCAAGTGATAACCGGTACACCATCTAACACATACTAGCGTGCTGGTGACACTACCCCCCTGACGTCAAGTGATAACCGGCACACCATCTAACACAGGAAAAAGGACAGAAATAATTACCGGAATACTGATAAGGTTCAAATGAAGACATATCGATGAAATTATAGAGCTGATATTGATATCGAATCTATTTCAAGTTAAAAGTTAAGTCCTGGATCAAAATATCAAGCGCAAAAAGTACTAACAATACAATAGTTTAACCAGGCTTAAACAAATTAAATAAAGCTGATTGGAAATCAAAAGCACATTTTAATTAACAATTAAACGCGTCAAGTAAATTTAAAAATTTATTTTTATTTTTGAATGTAAATACTCATTTACTTGATTATACTATTTTTTAGTTTTTTAATAGTATAATTGTGCTAAATTATTAGCATGCTTTTATCTCAAAATAATCATACTCCCTAAATAAACAAACAAACTTTCAGCGGATAACCTAATCAACATAATCAGCGTTGACTGCAATAAATAGTTTCAAACATTGGTTGTATTATCATTTTTGTTGCTTATTTTATTATTTTTAAATTAATAAATATTTATATAATCTGCATTTGACTGCTGCAGTGGTTTAATGTTTACCCGATGGAAATTTAAAATATCGCAAATAATAATTCTAAACAAAAATTTGAAATTGGTATATAAGATTCCCATATACGGATGGTGATATACTATGAAGGTATATTTGATAGTTTTTCATTGTCAGCAACTCAACACACAAACGCCAAACGTACACAAACAGTTTTAGAATTTTATTCTGTCTAAAAATATATTATATTACTGTATCATTACTTAATAAATATAAAGTGGAAACTTGTTACTGCAGTATTAACAGGGATGTGCCTTTTTTCATCTTCATTAGTGAGTTGGAGAACCCGTAGGGAATATAATAGGATTCTGAAATTAATTTTTAAAAGAAGCATTTTTATTTATGACAGTGAAAATATATTTAATATACAAAAAATATGTAGAGTTTGCAAAACAAAAATTATCATCCTGAATAACTTTTCATCTTATGACCAGATCTTCTAGTTTTGAGATTGAATTTTTAAGGATTGAGGAAGTGAGACCTCAAATATGCTAATTAATCAGAATTTTAAGTTGCAAGTGTACATTCTTTTGACGGATTCGGGTTGATGACCTACAATATATAGAGAATAGCCTCAATCTGGAAAATATTGCCCCAAGAGAGCAGTCCAAAGCTAGGTTCTCTTAATGTTAATTTTATTTTTTAGGTATTACGCCATATCTCAAGAAATTTTTACGCGAATTGGATTTTTTTTTTGTGTCTAAAATCATTAAATTCGTTTGCCCAAAGATAATTCCACTCAAAATTTAACTATTAGCAAATATTTATTACTTCTCATTATTTTTATTAATAATGGTCAAAAAAATTTTGTGTTCCAAGGTATACAATTATTTACATTATTTTAATGACTGTAATTTTGTATGGCATAGCACAAAATTTGAGTGAAATTTTTTGTACAGTTGTTGAGAAATCAAATTTTCAAAAAGTTGTTTTATAGAGTTTCGCAGTTTTAAAAAATATTTAACATTCAGCAATTTCATACATAAATTTTCCTTGCGTTGATAATTGGGAGAAGCAAATATTTTCAAAATGTTTACAGTAACTTTTTTTTCCAATTTAGTTTTCATTTATGAGAATTTGAACAATTTTATCTAAAGATATCATCGATTGGATTAAAATTCTACTTGTAAAGTTAAAGCTTAAATAATATTAATTAAATAAACATTTGTTTGATCGACATAAAATTTTAAGTGAATTGTTTTTCTTCTTTATTGAAAAAAGATAAGGGGTAAGAGCAAAACTTTTAAAAAGTTAGAAAATAAAAGTCCACTTAGGGTATGCTCGTTTTAGTTCATTTTTGATACGATAGATAAAATATATTTTAAAAGCAGTGATATTAGAAAATACGAATATAAAATACTCTTTATAATTTAGCAAGTTTTAAGGGGGTTCGGTACCTCCTATGTTGACAATGTTAAAATGGCATATTTCGATGTACCTTTATTAAAATAGTATCGTAGTTAGAGCTTTGAAATTTTTTTTGTGTATGTAATAGATATTCTAGATTATACTGAAGTGAACTTTTTTAAATTTAGTAAATTAAAAGAAATTTAAAAAAATAAATTACACAGCATGTCAGAAAATTTTAAAAGCTTCACATTTTCATCCGAAAATTTTGAATTAAAAAAATATTAAGTCTCTCTAAAAAAACTGCTCACTTCAGCACAAACTACAGTACTAAAGGAACTTTTTAAATCAAAAATCAAAGTGTTGTGATCAATAGTTTTCAAGAAAAGGTACATCGAGGCAAAAAAAAACATAGTTTTGAGTTATTTGCATTTAAAGCGTAAATATTAGACTACCAACGATATTTGAAATTTAAATTCAAAAATCATATTGTTTCTAAGTTTACTCTTAAATGTTTCTTTTATTTGACTGAAAAATAGGTTTATATACTATACTCTCCTCACTTTTCGAGCGAATAAAAAGCCCTTAAAATGATCAAACTGAATGCGATAATTATAAAATTGTATAATTCATAAATCACCCCTAAATTTTATTCATGAAAATTGAATATTCAAGTCCTTAACAAGATGTTTTGTTTAAATTTAAATGAGTTAAAAGTATTTTTGTTTAAAAAAAATAACAATATTACAAAAAAAATCTAAGAAAATGCATATTTCAAGATAAACATTCTAAACACAGAAATAATTAACAAAAGAACTGTAAATAAGAATTTACTTCAAAATTAGAAATATTATGTATAGAACATTTAAACAAAAAATCAAAATGATGTAACTAGAAATTAGGGAGAAAAAAAAATCCGGTCCAAGGTAAATTCGAATAATGTAAACGAAATTCCTAATCCATGACAGCTTCAAAACAATCCTGGTCCATAAGCAATGTTTTTTTGCATTTCAGTACTTCATTTTCTTATCTTTTACGTAAGTAAACAAAAACGTAATGATGAATAAAAAAAACGTAAAAATTATGACCTAATAACAGCATAATAAAAGAACAAAACAAAAATAGACTTAACAAATCAAACTAATGTAAATCTCAGTTTTATATTCAAAATTCTCGAAAATCGCATAGAAATAAAGAACAAACAAATAATCCAGTTAAAGTTACAATCAACTAAAGATATTGTTAAGTTGAAATTATAAATAATTTTTTAATAGATTGGTAATAGCACATGCAAAAAATAATGAACATTATAACGAAATCGTCTGTCAAAAGTGGGCGTGGCATGGGTGTTTTCGGTTTGTTTACATTTTTTAAATTAAGTTTAAGTGCACTTCTACGTGGATTTCAAACAAAAGCAATATATCGTTAGAAAGCTAATAGTTTCTAGTTTAATTATTGATCAAAATCTCAAATTCAATTTTTTGAAGGTTTTTAGGTACTGAAGTAAATGAAATCAATGCGTACGAATGAGATAAGTTGCATTTTAAAAGGAAGTTGGCAACAAAATTAAATATCATTTGCTGATTGCATTTCTTGAAAGCGTTATAAGTTCCGTAAAACAAAATTTCAATTAAAATTCACTTAGTAACAGTTTTTTGGCTTATAATTCATAATGTGTTATATAAAATGACAATAAATTAAAATAAAGAAAATTACAACAAAAAATGTTATAAATAAGTGTGCGACGACAAAAGTTAGAGTTATAAGAAACTACAAATAACGCGAAAAATTAATAGTATATGGTAAATGTTAATTATAAATGATTCGTGGTAAATGATACTTACGGCTTCATCTATTGGGTTTTTCAGAGATGGGGGTGGATTAAAAGATAAAGAGTCAGTGGCTATCACAAAACAGAAAATTGCAAGAGTCAAGAACAATATGCATTGAAACATTGTCTTCATTTTTTCTTTCAAAATACCACAGCAATGATCTGCAAAAATGTAAACTAATGTAGCTCTTAGCAACAACGAACATTGAAAAAGTGATTAAGCAATAAAATATCTTAGGAATAAATAGTAAGTAAGTTGATAAAGTAGAATGATAAAATAAATGATAAATATCAATATGATTGTTGAAATAAATAATGTTATGATTGCTGAAATAAATAATGTTATGATTGCTGAAATAAATTATAATAGTATTGTTCAATACTGTTTTTTTGTTGTTTATTTACGTAGCACTAAAGTTGGAAGATGGGCTATTGTGTGGTAAAAATCCCTGAGAATGATCTAAAGGCATACCGTTACAATTTTGATCCTCTGTAAAGGGGATGGCTCCCCTGCTTCGGCAGACTGAAGACCTGCTCGTGAAGTCGAGCACTCGACGATAGGACAGTTTAACGAAGACTAATACCATATACCAGGGATGGCGAACCAATAGCACGCGTGCCATTTAAGGCACGAGTCGCAATATTTTGAGCACGCCACCGATCACAATTGTTATTACACTATGAATTGTTATTATACAAATGTTATCACATTATGAATCATATGTAACAATGAAGTTAAAATTCACAAAAAAGAAACAAAATAATAAACAATTATTAATAAAAAAATTAACAATTAATGATGAAAAACAACTAATAACCATAAAAAAACCAGCTAACATGAAATAACTAGCAAAAAAATTAACAGTCCTGCTTAAACTAACATCTTACAACCTAATATAAATTGTTTGTTATCTAATTTGCAACAACAGAAGTCACACTGATGTTACTTTAAGCTGTTTTAAGACATGGCAAAATGTTTTTTTCAATGCAAATAATGAATTTTGAGTTGATAGTATTTAGTATTATTATTTTCCCTATAATCACGAGGTCAAAATTATTTGACGGCACGTCTATGATCTCATTAAACAATTTTTCAGAAAAAATGGCACGTTGGTGTATAAAGGTTCGCCACCCCTGTCATATACTCTTTTTCCCTTCATCGCCTGTAAATAGTAATACCTAAAGTATGAATGGTAGGTAAGATGATAAAGTTGAATGATAAGGTAAAATGCTAAAATATATAATAAATAACAATATGATTGCTAAAATAAATAATGTTATGTTTGTTGAAATAAATTCCAATAGAATTGCTAAATACTATTTGTTTGTTGCTTATTTACGTCACACTAGAGCTGTATGATTGGCTATTGGCGACTGTGTGGGAAACATTTCTGAGGATGATCCAAAGGCATGTCGTAACAATTTTGAATCTCTGTCAAGGGGGTACCCCAATTGGGCACCCCAATTTTGGTAGCCCAATGCGTGCGAAGTTGAGCACTTTACGATAAAACAGCTTAACGAGGGCCAATACCGTACGCCCTTTGTCCCTTCTTAGCCGGATCAAAGTGGTCAACCACCCGCACACTGACCGCACTCAATAATGCTTGACTTCGGTAATCTACTGGGTACAGTGCCTTACGATCACTCCATTGAGGGACAGACTACGGTTGATGCAATAAACAATAACAGAATTGATAGAATAAATACTAATTGAATTGGTAAAATATACAATCATACAATTGATAAAATGAATAATAATACTATTGGTAACATAAATAATAATGGAATTGATAAAAAGATTTATCCGAGTGATGAACTAAATAGTAATTCTGTTTTAAAAAAAATAGTTATATGATTGATAACTCCAAAATTGTTTGAATAAATAATAATAAGATTGCTAAACTTAATGATAATCGTTTACATCTGATAGAGGTAAATAATTCTGATGATTGTCTTATATGCCATCGAATTCATATGGTTGGCGACCTTCTCAAAAACTGCCCTATTGTTTCGAACTTTTTTGCTGGTCACTTTTGCCATATCTCGTCATTTTGTAGAGCTAATTGTTGACAGTAGGCGTCGTCGTAACAGCTTATGTGGGATAGAAGAAAAAAATATTCAATGAAAATATGATTGGTAAAATTACTAATAATTGAATTCATAAAAATAAATAATAGTTGTGTTATCGAAAATGTTATTTAATATATCTAATATAATACAAATTCGAATAAAGTTATTTACAAATTGATACAGTTATTTTTAGGCTGAAATAAATATGTTTTTAAAATTATAATATTAAGATTTTTAGAATAAATAGTAATAAATAGGATTTGAAATTATAACGTAATTAAAATAATTAATAATTTTGATAAAATGAAAAGTAAAGGAACTTGAAAATTTTAGTATGATGGATTAAAAAAATCACAATAGGAATGATAAAATAAACACTATGATTCGTAAAAGTTATTAATATTGATAAAATAAATTCTGTTTTAGTTCACACGAAAGATATTTTTGTTATAGAAATAACTGAAAGTGAAAGTAATGCAAATAATTTTTCAGATTATGAAGATGTGAACATATACAAAGACTAATATTTAACTTTTCTCATTTGCCCAAAATAATTTGGGATAGTAAACTTATGGTAAATTAAATACTGTTTTACTCATAAAAAATTTAGAATTTCAAATTAGAACTTGTGTACTATGTTTTGTTTTAGCTCCTTATTAAATAAAGAAATATATTGATTTTTTGCATTTTTTTTTAAAAAAATTCGTAAGTGGTTAATAAAATAAAAGCTAACTAAAATAAAGCTTTAGTTTTATAAGAGATCTCTGAAATAAGAATGTCAAAAATGATAGTTTAAAAGTTTTACACAGAAATCCTTAAAGACAGAAGAAGAAAAAACAGGCGCAACTTACTTTTGTTCTAAATGTGATTTTAGATTAGATGGTATTAACTTTATATAATGTTAAAAAAACGAAATAAACTGAAATTTCCAATTGAATTAATTGAGTTTTATATTTAGACAGCAGATATGCCTTTAATGAAATGACTTACGAATGATGCATTGGCGCAACTATTAACATGATGTCACAGCTTTGCTGATTTGATAAAATGATATTATTTTTTATACTCTTGAGATTTTGTCTTTTCCTTAAATGCTTTTTTGAGCAATTTTATTTTTTACAAATATTTTATTAGAAAATAATTCATAAAGGGCTTTCAAAATGGAATAGTTATTTCTGTGTTATAAATATCTTTTATTGCATGATACATGTTTATCCAAAAGACAACTTATGAACAAATTAAATTTATTTGCTAAAATTAAATTTATTATAAGAAATAATTTGATACTTGGGATATATATATTTCTTACTATTTGATTTGAGGTAAAAAGAAAATTTTTGATGTATCAAAGTTTTGCCATTATGATTTCTCATATACTGTTTCATATCTTAAGATAAATCATTTGCTGAGCTTTGTATTAGTTTTCACAACTTATGTATGAATATTTAAATAGTAATTGTTTTAAATATTTTTAATAAACAGTAAATAAAGAGAAATAAATTAAATTCAAATTTTTCAATTTTGCACATTTCAAGATGCACAAATTTCTGAAATAGAGCAACAAAATGATGAATAAGTTACAGTCGCAACATTGTAACATAATTCAAATCCCGCATTATTGAAATTGTATTTAAATTTAACCCGCTATCACGCGTTTGGCTTTCAGTATATTTCTGAAATTTTTTGCACATTTTTAATGTAATTTTAAGTAAAATATTTCCCCCTGGAATAATTTTGAGTGTGGCAAAATATTGTTTATATCTATTTTATTTACTCTATCAGAATGATTAAAGACTATCTACAATACATAAAAATTCTTACAGTATAAAATATGATTGCGAATGTGTAAATTTAGTTAAAAATATAAAATTTCTTTTTCACGTTGGCAACAAAGAACTGAAAACCGAAGTATTTATCGAATGAGCAATCGTAAGCTTATAAGTTTTAACGCTTGTTTGCGATATTGTTCTGATCGTAGGTAAGACACGAATCCCAGTAGATCACCGAAGTTATGCATCTCTGTTCGGTATCAGCACTGGTTAAACTGTTCTCGTATTCGAATTCGCCCTAAGTGTTCGGGCTACTTAGGAGGGGATGGCATCACCTCTACAGAGGATCAATATTGAGAATACTGGTACGCATGCATAGTCTTAGTAAAGAGAAGCTACCCTCCCTGAAATGCTCTATTCTTGTTTCCATGGCAACGGACGGTCTCAAACTTGGTGATGGTGGGTGGGTGGGGGGTCTTTCCCGTTGACAAACTATACTTAGGATAGTAAAAGTTAATTTTGCTTTTGTGAATAAGTCCTAACAAATGAAATTCATAGGGTCACATAATTAATAATAGTAAATAAGTGCGCTGTTTGACTTACGTTGTAATTAACATTTTAATAACAGATTCCTCTCGATACGCACTATATTATTGGAGCATATAAGAGACAAAAATTAAATCTACTATTAGTTCAGAAATGTGAGTTTGCTATATTTTCATTTAGTTTTGATTTTTGACCGTGCGATTTTTCTCAAAATGCTTGAAATTCTACTTATTAAAATGGAAGCTAGTTGTTACAAATCTTGTATAATTAAGATGAGTTGTTTCAAGAATGTGAATTGATATCATATAATATAGGAATAAATAGAATAATATAAGAATTTATAGAAAATTATTGAAGTCATTCATTAATATAATGACAAAAATTAATGATAAAAGTTTTATTCTGACAACTGGAGAGGCTGTTCAAATATTGATAAATTTATTTTAACTGAAATTGTTTCAGTTGCATTTTAAATTTAAAAAAAAGTTCTTAATCAAAAGTATTAAGCAAAATTACATTTATGAAAAATATTTTTTTGAAATTTATATTTTATTAACTAAAAGAAATATTTCGAATGGCAATTTTTATTATGGCTAAATTTCGAGCGGAAAAATATATTTCTAAAGTTATATGCTGTCACACGAAATTCAGATTTAAGCCGATGTGGCATATCTGTTAAATTTAGGGGTAGTTCTGAAATGAGAATGTAGTTTAGCGACTTCCCATTAATCAGAAAAAAATATAAAGGCATTGTACACGGAGAAAAAAATACTGTGTGAGACTACTTTACTGCATGGCAATGACATTTCTGGTTTGA